CCCTTGAAATGTGGTAACACCCTCGAGGCATTCCAATAAATGGGATCTAAGGCTTCAATACTTAGAGGAGAGGAGGGCTGGTTAATGACATATATATGAAGTGAATCAGAAGGCAGGATGGTCTTAAAAACTGGATGTGCCTGGGCACATACTATATTAGAAATAAAAGTGAGTAAAGTGTCCAAATAAACTAGGAAGTAGTGAGACCAAAACAGAGATATTTTCCTTTCTTAATAACTACCCTTTCTGATGTTATCTACTTGGCAGGGTCTTCAATGCTTTTTCCCTTGACAGGGATTAATCTGATGGATGAGGTAGAATAATAAGGAGGTCTACTGATGAGGAATGACCCCCCCCCAATCATTCACAGGTAATTAGGAGCAACTTTTATTATTTTTTGGAAATATGATCTCTAGAGCAGTGGTTCTCAAAGTTTGCTTGCCAACCAGCAGCATAAGCATCACCTGGGAACTTGTTAGAAATATGCAAATTCTCAGACCCCACTCCAGACCTTGAATCAGAGACTCTGCAGGTGGGGCCAAAAACCACTGCTTTAACAAGTCCTGGTGATTGTGCTGCATGGCCCTTGGGTATTTATGTAATTTAATTATTTACTTATTTGTTGTCAATGATTTCAAACTTTTTTTCTTTTTCAAGTTACAATTAACTTTCTGAAGTTTGGAAAATGAAAAATTATAAAAAGATGACAGAAGACATGAATGGTTCAAATACATCTTCCTAAAGAGAATATAGTATTTTAAAAAGAATTCTGAGTCTTTTAGGCACTTTGAAGTGCATGTTTCAGCAAGGGGTGGGGGACTGTTCTGTGTAAAGTGAAACTTCCTCTTCCAGGATGAATATTCTTACAGCCCTTCACAGATGGAAGCCCGGCACATTTCTATAGAGTTTAATATATTCTGAATTTGTCACTTGACTCATTTACCTAGGCTGATTATGACAAAATATCATCTTGACCAAAGAAAATATTTTGTTAAAATATCTCTGAAAAGAGTTCAAGGGTTTGATGCAAAACTGCAAATAGAGTGTATTATGTTATGCACATGTTGAAAATGATATGATTTTCCTGAGGGGAAAATGTGTTTAAAAAGGATCTTATTAATTTGTTTTTCTGGATAGACAAAGTCTTCCTCCAAAATTTTTTTTTTTTTTTTTTGAGACAGAGTCTCACTCTGTTGCCCAGGATAGAGTGCCATGGTATCAGCCTAGCTCATGGCAACCTCAAACTCCTGGGCTCAAGCAATTCTCCTGCCTCAGCCTCCCAAGTAGCTGGGACTACAGGCATGTGCCACCATGCCCGGCTAATTTTTTCTATATATTTATTTTTTAGTTGTCCAGATCATTTTTTTCTATTTTTTTGTTGAGACGGGGTCTTGCTCTTGCTCAGGCTGGTCTTGAACTCCTGACCTCAAGCGATCCATCCGCCTCGGCCTCCCAGAGTGCTAGAATTACAGGCGTTACAGGCGTGAGCCACCGCGCCCGGCCTTCCTCCAAAATTTTGAGGAAGATGTATATTCAACTTTTTATGAAACTGCAAAACTGTTACCCGAAGTGGTTGAACCATCTTACATACACACCAGCAGTATATGAGAATTCAAATTGCTCCACACCCTCACCATATGCTGGTATATAGTTGCTATGGTAGCTGCTCTATTAGGTCTATAGCGGTATCTTATGATGATTTTAATTTGCAATTCCCTAATGACTAATGCTGTGAAGTATATCTTCAGGTCCAGTAATTCCACTCATTTTATTTCCAAAAGGAATAGAAGCATACGTCCATATAAAGACATGGATCCTTTCTATGGACTGAATTGTGTCTCCTCAAAATTCATGTGTTGAAGCCCTAATCCAATGTGACTGTGTTCAGAGACAGGGTCTATTAGGAGGCAATTAGGGTTAAATGAGATTATAAGGGTGGGTTCTGATTCTATAGGATTAGTGTCCTTGTAAGAATAGACCCCAGAGGTGTATTCTCAGGCACACTCAGTCTCTCCAGCCCCCAATCTTTCCTTCCTTCTCTTTCTCTCCCTCTCTCCCTCTCCTCTCTCTGAAAACACACAACGAGGTCATGTGAGCAGACAGCAAGATGGAAGGTGCCTTCAAACCAGGAAGAGGCACAGAAAGCCACCATGCTGGAACAGAGATCTTGGACTTGAAGCATCCAGAGCTGTGAGGAAACGTCTGTTGTTTAAACCATCCTGTCTACAGCATTTTGTTATGGCAGCCTGAGCTGACTAATACAATCTGCATAGCAGCTTTATTTGTAACAGTCAAAAACTGGAAACCACCCAAATGAAGGAAAAGACAAATTATGGTATATACATACAATGGAATACTATTGAGCTATAAAAATACACGAACTACTTATATTCACAACAAGGATAAATCTCAAAATAATTGTGCTGAGTGAAAGAAACTAGACAAAAAAAGGAGAGTACACTATATGATTCCAGTTATATAAACTCCAGAAAATGCAGTTAACTGAGAGTGACAGAAAGCAGATCTCTGGTTGCCTGGGAAGTGAAGTGTGGCAAGGAATGGGAGGGAGGGATTACAAAGGTACAGGAGGAACTTTAGGGTGTGACGGCCGATGGACGTGTGTACTAGCTTGATTGTGGTGATGGTTTCATGGGGGCACATATATATCAAAATATATCAAATTGTATACTTCAAATATATGCAATTTATTATATGTCAACTATACTCAATAAAGCTGTTTTTAAAAACCCCGTGGAATCCTATTATCTCTAGGAAGCTCTAATTTTGTGTTAAATAGAATTTAAGTTTTCTTTTCTCCAGTTCCTGATAAAGAAATGGAAAAGAAAATGCCTCAGTCCAAAGCGGCTGTCATATGTATAATGATTTTGTACCTTTTCTTGTGAGCAGCCTGGAACAGAATCCCCGACTCACCCCAAACCCAGCCTTTCTCCAAACCAATTCAAACAACCTATAAAACAGGTGATGGCAAAACGCAGAAACAAATGATTACACTTGGGCGTTTCGGTTTTGCAAGCTTAGATGACTTGGCTGGATAGTGTGGTAAAGAATGAAAATCTGTTATGACACCTTCCAATCACATTTGATAATTGGTATCAGGAATACTATATTACAGATAAAGCAAGGTCTCCAAAGGTAGAGATGGTAAAATCTAGAATAACAAGGTATCAGCTCATAAGTCAGGCAAAACTTTGAAAATAAAACCCAAAGCTGAACACAGGATTTGATTAGAAATTCAAAATCTGCTTCAATTTCACAGAAAGCTCAGAAGATAAAATAGGGTTTTATTCACAGCCTTAGGTAAGGTTCGTGCCAGACATGAACTTTATATCGCACTTGGTGTGGGGGTGCCAATCCACTGTTTAGACGGGGCCACAATAGCAGGAAAGGACGAGGCTTCTTACAGGAGGCCCTTTGTGGCAAATTACTATGGGAGGAAACCCTTTCAAAGTTGCAAATTGTTCATTTCATTTCTATTGTGCTGAGGAAGCCAGGTTTTATTGTTTGGTTTGTTTTAAGTGCTAAAGTCCTAGGTTTTGAGCTTGGGCTACCCAGTCAACAAGTGGTGGAAGAGCGAACTTAAAACCATGTCTGATGCCAAAGCTCTTTCTCTTTCTAATGCTCAATACAGAGCAGAGTTTTCTAGGAGGCCTACCGTCAAGCCTGCCCCGCGTGCTCCCCTTGTTTCCTAATGCTACGCCACTCGCATTAACTCGCTGAGGGTTCCCAGCTGGAGAGCACAGATTGCACCTGCTCGGAAACCCAGCGGGGCCCAGGCCTCGTCCGCAGCTCACTCAGCCTCAGCGGCCTGTGCACGGAAGCGAGGACCCACCAGGGGTCGCTGCAGCCTCATAGCTATTGTGCCCGCCAGTCCTGGACGCGGCCGGCCTCGCGGAGGGCGTGGGGCAGGGATCGTCGAACGCTGGGGTCCGAGCAGAACTGCCCCCAGGCGTCCAGGCCCGGCCTCCGGGTCTCCCTGGGAAACCGACACAGCGAGCTGCGGACCGCCCCTCTGCTGGGGCGCAGCGCCCGGCTTCCTCGCGCGGACCTGCCCGCGCCTCGCCACTGGGACCACCTCCGCTCCGCCCTCCGCCCCCAGCTGATACCCCGCCCAGGAGGGGCTCCCCTGCTACGGCCATCGGGGGGGCCCCCGCTTCGCTTCAGGGTATTTTGCAGACGCCCGAGCCGGGCCCAGTAGCACCTGGGCCGCTGCCGCCCAGGGCGCCACCCCTCGCGCTGCCAAGAGAACTTTCCACTTTCCCCGGAGCCGGCGCGGCCTGGCGCGCCCTGGGCACACCCCCGCCCGCCCGCTGCGTTCCCAGCTGGGGCGCCCGCTTCTCCGCCCGCGGGTCTCCCGACACCCGGCTTTTCTGAATGTTCTGCAGAAGCAGCACTCCGCCGCCGCGGCAGGGCATTCCTGGAGGGAAAGCTTGAACTTGGCCGTACACGGTCCCCCCCACCCCCCGTGATGAGCTCCGAGGTCCCCAGACGGGAGCCGCACCCCGTGACGAGCTGACCTCCCCTCGCTGGTCTCGGTAAGGAGCCCGTTGTCCTTTCCAACCCTGCCCCGGCTTCTCGGTGCCCCTGGGTTGGAGTGTGCGGGTGGCGGGCTGAGTGACGACCGTCGCTTCTGCCTCTGCTCCCCTGGCTGGGGCGTCGTGGATGCCCCTGACAAAAGAAAAGCCGAGAGCTCGCCGTTCCGCTGACCGCACCAGGGCTGCGGGGCGGGGTCGGAGCTGGGAGGGCGCGCCCGCGGGGGACCCCGCAGGCCGAGGGAGGCCGGCGCGTCGCAGCCGCGCTCGAATTGGTGCGGTTGCGGGGAGCTGCAGAGCTTCCAGGGGCTTCCAAGTCCGGGGTGGCGGGCCTCGAATTCTCGTCCCTCCCTTTTCTTGTGTCTTGCCCCCCTTGCCAGGCGACTTTTGTCGTCCCCAGAATTGCCGGAGGGGCCGCGGCGCCCCCGCCTTCGGAGGAGCCGGAGCCGCAGGATGCGCGGGGACGCGCCGCCGCCCTCCGCGCCCAGTTCCGCCGGCGTTTCCCTCGCGGCTGGCGGGCGCTGACTCTCCGGGCGCGGACTCTCCCGGGCTTCTCCGCCCTTCTAGCTTCCCGCAGCGCCGGGCGCCTCGGCCCCGGCCCCGGACCCCGCCGGCAGCTGCTCCTCTGGCCCCGGCCACGGCGCGGACCATCAATCAATGCGTCGCGCTTGAGGGAACGGGCGGCTAGGCGCCTCGGTCGCAGGTCTCGCCTGCCTGGAGACGGCCGCAGCCGACATGGGCTGTTTCTGCGCTGTTCCGGAAGAATTTTACTGCGAAGTTTTGCTCCTGGATGAATCCAAGTTAACCCTCACCACCCAGCAGCAGGGCATCAAGGTAGGTGCGGCCGGGCGGGCTCGGGGTCCGCCGCTTTGTCTGGGGCTGTCACCGGTCGAGGCCGGCGGCTGCGTGTCTGCGCGGTGGGAAGGAGTGGCAGCCGCCCCTGCGCTCGGAGAGAGGGTGGACGTGTGAGGGTGGGTTGACTTTGAGCTTCTTCATAAAGGAAAGTGAGTTTGACATCCCGAAGGTCATTCGACGCACCAACTCCCCGCTGCAGTCCACTGTCCTGCAACGGAGACCAAAACTCTTCCCCAAACTGGTTTCCTCCAAAAGTATCTGGGCCCCCTGAAACTCCCACAGAGGCTCAGGACTGCTGATACGGGCTGCACCCCACCGCAGCGTGGAAGTGCGGTTTCCCTCAGCTTAGTCGGAGACTCGTTTCTTGATAGTGTCGTTATAGACGTAAACTAGTTCACTCGTTGAATACATCAATGGGTCATTGCGATTGTGTTGTCTGGGTTTGCAGTTGGGTAATGCTACGTTCAGACTGAAAATACTTTCCCTTTTCTCAAGTGAACTGGGTTTATCCGCACATTTAAGTAAACGTCTCTCAGAGCAACTCAGTAATAACTTTGCTCCTGTTCGTAGGTCATTAAAATGCAATTACTACATTAACCTAGGGAACCCAAACAAAAGGGCCCCCGGAGCTTGCAGGATCCACTTCCTTAATTTTGATGAGTACGTACTTATGTTTATAGTTGACAACCTGACGGATGCGCCTGCGCGCTTGTTTTGCTGTTGCAACAATGTAACTACCTAGAGGAGATATGAATCCGGAGCGTTTTGTTTTGTTTCCTTTTCTCCTTCGGTTTTAAATTACTAAGGCATTTTAGATAACGCAGCAGCTGAGTCTGGTGAAGGGAAACCGCCCCCTTTATAATAGAGCTGGCTGTATGAGAAATCACGTGTTGAGGCTGCCAAAAATCCTGTCCTAGACTTGTCATCTCAGAAGCTAATCCTAATGGGGTAGGCCCTGGGCATTTCCTTTGTGAATCAGTTTTTACATAGCTTTATGCGCACTAGAGCAACTGTTCCTGGGCTAAAAGTTTCAGCGTTGATGTTGTCGTTCTTGGTGTACAGAATTCTAATTTCATAGGCCTAATTATTTTGCAGGAGAAAGGGGTAAAAAAAAAAAAAACAAGCTACAAGATTGTTAACCCTTTCCTTTAGGAAATTGTTTTGAATATTGTTTCCCCAGTAATTAGCAAAATTCAATCAGATTCTCAGGTGGTATTTCCTTTCAGGTACAATAAAACAGACACTTTTTTGGGGAGGGTGTTCATTTTGTATTTTTAACATTTATTTGTGTTCCAAAATATCCCTCCCCGCACCCACCCACTGAAATCAGGAAAAGAACTTACTGGATAATGTAACATTCTTTGATGCAGTTTGTGAATAAAATAGACAAAAATCACAAAACATCTAAATTATTGGTAATATGTAGATTCTTTGTAGTGTGAGGGTAAAAACAATTAGGAAAAGATAACTAATGATCCGATGCTAACACAACAAAGAAATCTTTTTGAAGTGCAAAGTCTAAATTATCTAGAGTCAAAAGTCATCTGGAGTGTGAGCTTCCTATTTAATCATGAAAACTGGGCCTCTGTCAGCTTGGAGCATGTACATTATTCTGTCAAGAGTAGCAGCCAAGACTTGGGATCAAATAGAATAATTTTGTCAAAGAAACATGAATCAAAATTTTGATCCATAATTACTTTTTATAACCCAATGGTGCTTATCTTGTTTTACAAATAGGTTGAAAATTGGTGAGTGATTCAAAGGCAACAGCAGCCTTATAATACTGTTATTTTGGATATAGGCCATATAGCTAAACAATAATTTAAGCAGGCTTTTGTTAGAAGTAATCATGTCACAACAGCTTGGCCTCTTTTGGTGTCACAAAAGCATGTCACAATTATTTTGATGGCCATATGTGTAACACAGATGTTGTCTGAAGTTAACCACATTATCTGTAACTACCATGCTATCATAAAAATGTATGTCTTAAGCACCTACCTACTTGTGGTATGTACTGAGTTAAACATTTTCATATGTGATATCATAAATATACCAAAGCATCTTGAATGTAGATGATATTCAAACATTGAACATGTGTATATGTCATTGTTCTGTACATACTTGACATTTTCTTTAACTTTTCCCTAACTTATATTATGGTACATATGTACAATTAATGTATATTGCATTCATTAGATAAAGTTAACTCCTATTTTAGTTCATAAATGAAAAAGTAAACAATTATTTCAAAGTCAATAGTCAATAGCTACTATTATGGTATTTTCCTTGGGATGATACCCTTGATAATTTTGATTATTGCTGATTAAAGTCAAATGAAGCAGGCAACATCAATTAGCCCATTTTCCCCTGAAATTAAGCTAGAAAAATCTCTATTTCTTGAATTTTCATAAGTATTTACTAATATTTATTTTGTGATGACCTTTTTCCTATTTTGAATGAGTTGAAGACAGCTAATTTTGTCTTAAAATTATTCACATATTTCATCTCTTAATAGAGAAGTTTTGCTGATTTCTAAATGGTTACTCAAGAATTTGCTTGTATTAATATTACTGTTAAAATAATGCATTGTGAGTTAGAAATAGTTTAAGTATAGTAAATGAAAATAGAAGTATTAGTGAAGCTTGGTAAAACATTTTGTCATTTTGAAAAACATTCTTTGGATTTAAGAACCAAATTACAAAATGAAAAGTTAGTTTTCTGCAACTTAGATCAAAGTTTTTCATTGACTTTAGGAAAAAATTGATGTCTCTATTTAAAGCATTTCAGCCTGAAGATAATAGTTACACATCTTATTTTTAAGATGAGTATCATTTAAATGGAAAATGATTTAAAAAAAAAATAAACCCAGAAAAATAACACAAGTATCTTTGTATCCTTATGTAGGTATTTGCCTTCTTAACTTGCTTTAGAGGTGACCTCACCTTGACAAACAGGAAGTCTTTTCCGCACAGTTCACAGTTTGAGCCCTATTCAAGATTAAAAACCCAGGTTTATATAAGCCGAAAGCTGTTGGTTGTGTTTTAAGCTCCACAATAGCTTTTAGCTGTTTGTTCTCCGCTGCTATCTCTGTTGTTTATTCAAGTAAGGATTCTTGCTATGATTGGTCTTAGTTTTTTGGTAATGTTTGTTCTGGGAAACTTTTGTCCTTTGTAATTCTCTGTGCTGGGGGAGGTAGAGATCTTTCCTTTTGTTCTCCTAGAAAGCAAAACTTGAATGTGGCTCAGATCCCTTTTATAGGTTGTCATTTGGTTGGCAAAAGATTTTCAGGGAAAAAAATAGCAAGATTATTCCTTAAAATTGCTGCCGTAAATATGGAATAGATTAGTATTTTCAGCAAGACTTTAGTCCTTTGAGTAGCCATGTGATGAATATTGAGGTGCTCATTTTTCTTTAGATGTATTGACTAAATTAATGAAAACAATATGACAATGAGATAAACTCCATTTTACCTTTTAAAATGTTTTTTTAAAGATATACCATACAATTCACCCAAAGTATATAGTTTATCCATTAACTGTTAAATGATGTTACCTTTCAGTCATCCTGAGGTTCCTGAGGGAATATTGTGAGTCAGTTTTGATGCTTTGATCAGAAACTTCCTAATAAACTAGAAAAACAATTATAAATTAGGACCTTAAAGTATATGTATCTCACTTACCAAAAATTGTAATTTTCATTCCATTTGGACTGGTAAAGAAAACATGTCAGGAGATTGTGAAAAAAGTGAAAAGCAATAGTTCTTCACAAATTATGTTAAGTATATGTGTGAATACCTGTATCCTTTGGTATCAACCACATCAGGTACAAAGTCAAGAGCCTTGTAAATATCAGTCGAAGCAAGTAATCATACTTTACATAACAAGATTTCTGTTAATATAGGATCGGCTGTGGGTCTTGATCGATTAGTAAATTTGATGTTACTGGAATAGAAAGTGCTCCTCCTCCACACTACATCCAGGTTTCCAAAATTCAAATATGATATCCAAATTGTGGCTATATAAGATTAACTAGCATATACATTAGTATGTAATTGGTATATAAATACCCCCTCAATTTTACAAGGAGCTTTTTCTTGAAAAAAAATTAAGTATACTTTTTATCATCCATGGCTTGAATATGACTTAGAAACTATTTAAGGGGGAAAGCATTGTTACCTCCAATGGCTTTATGGCTGTCCTTCTCTAGAGCTTAACAATATTATTGGTTGATGGTGAACCATGCTTTTTGTAGCCCAGTTACCATGTTCTTGCATTCTGTAATGGTAAGCTTGAACTGAAGTTGACCTAATGCAATGCTTTTGTTGCTTTTGAGCATGGGTGAAGATAAGGTTAAATCTGTTATAATTGTTGGGACAGAAGTCTAGACTCTACTTTGATTAGTCATATGGACAGTGGTTTGTTATTTTTATTTAGACACTTACAAGATGGGAAACTCATCTTTTGTTCGGTGGTTTGTGTCAAGTTTTATCCCAGACAGTAGGGCTAAACAATTCCTTGTTGTGGGAGTCTGTCCTGTCCATTGTAGGACACTTAGCAGCATTCCTAGTGTCCAGATGCCAGTAGCACCTCTTCCCCAGTAGTGACAACCGAAAATGTCCCCAAATGTTGCCAGATGTCCCCTGATGGCCAAAATCACCCTCAGTTGAGAACCACTACCAAAGGCCTAGCAGCTTTCTTTATTCTTATGTCTTTGGTGCTTAGTCTTCCACATTGAAAGCAGGACTACTTTTGGATGCTTTCTATTTTTTCCATTTTTTCCCCCTCTTTTGGAATGATGAGTTGTTTACCTTATATTCAGTGAAAACAATGTGATATCTATGTCTCTAACTTCATAGTCTTATACTCAGAGCAATATTTGAAGTAATAAAAGCGTGGGCTCTGGAGTCAGACCACCTGGGTTTAAATTTTGGCACCACTGATGACTTACTAGCTGAGTAGCCTTCAGGAAGATACTTATCT